CAGCTCTGGTTTAGCAAGAGAGAACTGCAAGGAGGAAACTACGAATTAACCGTATAGGAGCCATCAGAATGGCGCAACTCGCCACAGCTAACTCGCCACAGTCAACCTGGGCCTGCAAGAAGGCCCAATAATATTTCGGAGCTAGAGGATCTGCAGGAAATGTGGGAAAACATCCCAAAACCAAGAAGAGAAAGATGGTTTTGGGAATGTCTGGAATCTGTTCTTTCTGTCAGAGGCGGCGATATAAAGGGCTGACCGGAAGGATATCCAAGCTTTTAATATTTATAAATATTAAACATTAAATTTAAATATTAATGAGAAATTAAAACTGGGGAAAATTCATTGGGTGATTGATTGTCTAAAAGATGGAATGTTAAAACCATTGAGATATATATATAAACTAAAAATTATTGATAAATGTAAGAAAGTTATTTTTCATTTGACAGATAGAATAAGAAGTATATTAACTTAAATATGAGAGTACCTATTAAGGGGAAAAGAGAGGAAATATTTACTGTGATAGTTTGAGATCTGTACTAATCATATCTGTAGGTAATTGAATTATTGTAACTCAGTCGCCACGGTGCTTTTCAAAGATGTAATTGTAACATTAGAAAATCAATAAAATTAAATTAAAAAAAGGATGTCCAAGCCTCTGCACCTGCCATGTTCACACTTCATTATGTTGAATCTGTAAACAATTATACATAATTGTACATGGAGAGCCAGTCTGGTGTAGGGGTGAAGGTGCTGGCCTAAAAACCAGGAGTTCTAATCCTGCGTTTAGGCAGGAAAGCCGGCTGGGTGACTTTGGGCCGATCACCAGGAGACGGTGAGTTCTAGTCCTGCCTTAGGCAGGAAAGCCAGGTAGGTGACTTTGGTCAGGTACAAATGGATGGATAGATGGATAGGTGCAATTGATAGGTAGGAAGGTGAAATCACTTAGGACAGGGCTCCCCAAACTTGGCAGACTTCAACTCAATTCAGCTCTGGGAACTGAATTCTGGGAGTTGAAGTCCATAAGTCTTAAAGCTGCCGTGTTTGGAGAGCCCTAGCCTCAAAGGAACAAGAAAGATGAAAAGATTTTCCTAAGCTGCAAAACGTCCACGATCAATGGAGCATACCTTATCTTCTGCACCTGTTCCAGGAAGGATGTCCACCTGAATAGACACGGTGTCCACAATACTCTTCCTCCGTGACAGCCGGTCCTCGTCTACATAGATAGTATCAGAAAAGTTCGTATTTATCATTGTGGGTGATATAAATTATAGCATACAATATCTGGTAATTTATGCATAGGAAGGTAGGTAGGAGGTAGACAGACAGATTAGAGAGAGATACAGATAAATAGATTAAAGAGATTAGAGATACAGATAGATACACAGATTGATAGATCGACAAACAGATAGACAGACAGAGAGGAGAGGAGAGGATAGATAGAAAGATAGATGATAGATGATAGGCAGGTAGGTAGGTAGATGAATGACAGAGGATAGAGGATGAAAGAGAGTGAGGAGAGAGGGAGGGAGGGAGGGAGAGAGAGAGAGAGAGACTCAGTAGGTTTCAGGAATTAGGAGTATGATGAACATCTGTAGAGTGCAGGTATAAGACAGTCGCTAAGTGAATTTTGCCCCATTTTACGACCTTTCTTGCGCCGGTTATTAAGTGAATCCCTGAAGTTGTTAAGCTAGTCAGTCAGTTGAAGTGAACCTGGTTCCCCTATTGATTTTGCTTGTCTGAAGGTCGCAAAAGGGGATCGTGTGACCCCAGGGACGCTGAAGACCATCCTAAATACAAACCAGCTGCCAACATCTGAATTTTGATCGCGTGACTGTGGGGATGCTGCAATGCTTGTGTGAACAATGGTCAAAGGTCATTTTTCTCAGAGCCGTTATAACTCTGAACGGTCACTAAACAAACGGTTGTAACTCAAGGACTAATTGTAGCTTGACGCTTCCTGTGGGGCTGGTTTCCTGCTCTGGTCTACTTTGTGGAGCTGATGCAAGCTTGGGATGAGGGCTGCTCAAACGGAGGTGGAGGGATAAGAGCCGTGATCCAAAGGGCCACAAGCTTCTGCCCCCCCATTTTCCCCCCAAAGATGGCTGCCCCCCAAGATGGCTGCCCCCCTTTAGGTGGGAAAGCAGATCAGCTCGCTTCCTGTCAAAATGGGAAGCAAAATCTGAAGGGACAAGATGAAGGAAAGGAAAGGAAAGGAAAGGAAAGGAAAGGA